AGAAAACCTCAACACCTACCCAGAAGCACACTCTCTAGAATTTATAGAATTAAAGAAAACAGAGTTGGAAGGGACCTTGGGGGTCTCCTAGTCCAGGGGTAGGCAACCTTGGCTCTTTTATGACTTGTGGACTTCAACTCCCAGAACTCCTGAGCCAGCCATGCTGAGGGGAAAGGGAGAGGTTTCCAAGCTGAGCCATGCTGGCTCAGGAATTCTGGGAGTTGAAGTCCATGAGTCATAAAAGAGCCAAGGTTGCCTACTCCTGTCCTAGTCCAACTCCCTACAGAAGCAGGAGACCCCATACCATTCCATTCTACACAAGCAGGAGACCCCATACCATTCCAGACAAATGGCTGTCCAATCTCTTCTTGAAAACCTCCAGTGATGGAGCACTCACAACTTCTGGAGGCAGGTCGTTCCGCTGATGAATTGTTCTCGCAGTAAGAACATTTCTCCTTCATTCTAGGTTGCTTCTCTCCTTGATAGGTTTCCACCTGCTACTTCTTGTCCTGCCCTCAGGTGCTTTGGAGAATAGCTTGACCCCGTCTTCCCTCTGACAGCCTCTCAAATACAGTAGTACCTTGGATCTCAGCCGCTTTGAAATTCATGGAAAGCCTTTTGACGTGAAAATTTTGTACCCATGCTCATTTGTTTGGTACTCAATGCACTAGCTCAGTGGTGGCGAACCTATGGCACGGGTGCCAGGGGCGGCACTCAGAGCCCTCTCTGTGGGCAGGCGCGCCGTCGCCTCAGTCCTTCAGCTGGGTTTTATAAAACCTTTTCGCTTTAGGCCTCCGCCGCCGTGTGCAAAAAAAAAAAAAGGTTCAATCAATCAGTCAATTTCAACTTCTTGCAGGAAAAAAAGAGATCTCGCAAAGTTGGAATTGATTGATTGAACTTTTTAGTCCCACCCAGTCTGCCGTTACCACTGCAGCCATGCCCAGCCAATGGGCCACGCCCACCCAATGGGCCACACCCACCCGGCACCCGACGATGCATAAGTGGGTTTTGGGTTGCAGTTTGGGCACTCGGTCTCTAAAAGGTTCGCCATCACTGCACTAGCTAGAACTTGTCAGTGTCAGCTCCCACGTGACTCACTACATTATTCCTTATGGGAAATAATTGTTTGGTGTTCATCGCACCTCCCGGGACCAATTAATGGTGAGTACCAAGGTACCACTCTGTTAGAAGCCTGCTATCATGTCGTCATTTATTACGGCACCAGCATCTCCAAATGAAAGCCTGCCCCAACAGACGTCCTCTTCCCATTTACAGATCCTGTTGATCAACCCCTTTCGCTCCAAATGCCTTTGGGCTGGCTTCTCTGCCTCTTTGCAGCTGTTCTCCCAGGAATGGCCCGGGGACTCTCTGCTCCGCGCCCGAGCCAGGAAAGTGGAGCTGTGGAAAAGCACCTCGTTCCCAAGGGAGGGTGTGAGTGAGGTTTGCCCAAAAAACAAATTAGGGAACTCACCCAGTCTCTGTGCTCTGGATGTGAATATTCCAGGAGCAAAGAGGGGCAGGTTGGCCCGCTCTAATACCTCTGGGAGTTATTAGGAAGTGGTGCCCATTACAGGTAGTTCTCAACATACGGCCACAATTGAGCCCAACGTTTTTGTTGCCAAACGAGAGAGTTGCTAAGTGAGTTTTGCCCCATTTTACAACCTTTCTTAACACAGTTGTTAAGTGAATCGCCGCACTTGTTAAGTTAGTAACCTAGCTGTTAAGTGAATCTGGTTTCCTCATTGATCTGCTTGTCAGAAGATCGCAAAAGGGGATCGCATGACCCCGGGACGCTGCAACCGTCATAAATACGAGTCAGTTGCAATGAATTTTGATCATGTGACCCTGGGGATGCTGCAATGGTCGTTAAGTGTGAAAAACGGCCACAGGTCACTGTTTTCAGTGCCGTTGTAACTTTGAACGGTCACTAAGCGAACTGCTGTAAATCGAGGAGTATATTGCAAGAGCAAAGAGACGCAGGTTGGCCTGTTTTAATGCCTCTGGGAGTTATTGGGAAGTGCTGCCTATTAGTAGAAGAGTTGCAAATTAAGCTTTTGTGCTTTCACCAGGCACTTTCCACTTCAACTTTCAATTTCCAGGGTAGAAATCTATTTTTGTATCGTTCCGCTGAATTGTGTAGCCAGGCACCCACATTAACGAGCGTCTAGGTAGCATGCACATTTAATATATTATTGTTATAGCAATGTTCACATTCTGCATCCATTCCCTGGTGCAATCACGATGTATAGCACTGGCAATAATACATCCTGGAGTAGAATATTAGTTCCACATGCTCAGCGTGATTCCTCTCGGTTTCTAGTACAGTGCCCAAGTAAAATGTCTCTAAAAGCCACTGTTTGCAAAAGAGGGTTGCTCTGCATAATCACGGTGGGTTTTTATGTTCAAATATGATGTCTAAAGTGCTCTTCAGTTGCCGTTGCTCTCCAGGCAAAAGAGCAGGAAAAACAAGGGGGAAAATGGCATATCAAAACTGAAACACGCATATTCATGATAGGGTTACTTCCCAGAACTGAAAGACAGTTTTCTCTCCTGCTTCTACTAGGAAGAGAAAGCAAAAGGGAGAAAAGTTTCCTACCTTTGGAAAATTGGAGACATAATTCCATAGTTGTGACGAGCAGTTGAGTCTGCCAGCTCATGATGTGAAAGGGAACACAAGCTAGTTTCTTTTCCTCTTGAATTTTGAAGGGGCTTAGAAGCATTTTGCATTCATCTGAAGTGCAACTTCATCTACACCAGTGTTTCTCAACCTTGACAATTTTAAGGCATGTGGACTTCAACTCCCAGAATTCCACAGCCAGCAATGCTGGCTGTGGAATTCTGGGAGTTGAAGTCCACATGCCTTAAAATTGTCAAGGTTGAGAAACACTGATCTACACTTAGGCAAGAAAAACCAAATGTACAGGTATAGTATATGGGGTACCTTGCTCAATATAGTAACTGTGAGAGGGACCTCGGAGTCCTAGTGGACAATCACTTAAATAGGAGCCAGCCGTGTGCTGCAGCTGCCAAAAAGGCCAACACAGTGCTGGGCTGCATTAACAGAGGGAGAGAATCAAGATCACGTGAAGTATTAATACCACTTTACAATGCCTTGGTAAGGCCACACTTGGAATGCTGCATCCAGTTTTGGTCACCACGACGTGAAAAAGATGTTGAGACTCTAGAAAGAGTACAGAGAAGAGCAACAAAGATGATTAGGGGACTGGAGGCTAAAACATATAAGGAACGGTTGCTGGAATTCGGTATGTTTAGTTTAATGAAGAGAAGGACGAGGGGGGACATGATAGCAGTCTTCCAATATCTCAGGGGCTGCCCCAAAGAAGAGGGAGTCAAGCTATTCTCCAAGGCACCTGAAGGCAGGACAAGAAGCAACGGATGGAAACTAATCAAGGAGAGAAGCAACCTAGAACTAAGGAGAAACTTCCTGACAGTTAGAACAATTAACCAGTGGAACATCCTGCCTCCAGAAGCGGTGAATGCTCCAACACTGGAAGTTTTTAAGAAGAAACTGGACAGCCATTTGTCCGAAATGGTATAGGGTTACCTGCCTGAGCAGGGGGTTGGACTTGATGACCTCCAAGGTCCCTTCCAACTTTATTATTATTATTATTATTATCCTAACACACAGGTCAGCCTGGAGTGGCCAAGCCAGAGAAAGAGCAAAGATGAAGGAAGGGAGGAAAATCAACCCGGTCAGCCAATGTGACCCCATTTTGGAGGATAAATGAGCCAACATCAGCAAGGATGTTTCACAGGGGATGCTGCAAAGGAAGAAGGCAGCACAAGCAGCACCCAAGCTTCTCCTTAGGGTATCAAACCATGAAATCTGAAGATCAACCTGAAGGTAGGAGAGGCTTCCAAAGAAGAAATAAAATTCACTTATTCTGCAAAGTACAGGTAGTCCCTGACTCAACAACAGTTCATTTGTTGGAAAATTGATCAAAGAGAGAAACAACCTGGAATTAAGGAGAAAGTTCCTGACAGCGAGGACAATTAACCAGTGGAACAGCAGGAATTCTGGCAGTTGAAGTCCACGAGTCATAAAAGAGCCAAGGTTGCCTACCCTTGCCCTAACCAGAATACAGGTGGTTGTTAATTTACAGCCATTCCTTTTGCGACTATTTGAGTGATAATGGTGCTGAAAAAGAGTGACTACAACTGTCACAGTCCCTGCGTTTACAGGATCAAAATTCAGACCTCTGGCAACTGGCATGGATGTAGGATTTACCATTTGCAACCGTCCCAGCCAGCTTCCGGTAACCAAAGTCAGTTGGATTTGCTTAATGACCTGGTGCTTTGTTTAACAGCTGTGGGGATGAACTTAATGACCATGGCAAAAATTGTTTGCGTAAGTGGGCGTTACTCACTCAGCAACAGAAGTTCCAGTCCCCACTGTCGCAAGTTGAAGACCACCTATGTGGGAAAGTCAACAGGGACGCCTTGCTGAAATGCTTTCCCGTGTTCTTCTGAGCACCTTCCTAGTTCACACAAGCAGATATTTGTGAAATCTGTTGCGTAGAAGCTTTGTTACAAGTACCTGGCACTCATGAAATGGAACATTCTACTTTAGTCGTGGAAAGAACACGGTCTAATCTATTGCCCCATAAACCATGCCATAACCGTGGAGGGAGATCATGGACCTTTTAATAGTTGCGTACCGGAGGAATGTTGGCAGATGTGGTCAGCCATGCAGGGGGGAAAACTCCACCTGTTTAAAATTCCATTTCCAAGCAAGACACAAACAGGTCTTGCACGTTTGCCCTTTTATTATTATTATTATTTTGCAGAGGTTTTCAGTATAGACCTTCTTTGATTTGGGGGTGTGTGTGTGTGATAATTATAACTGACTAAAAAAGAAGAAGAAGATGAAGAATAGGATTAAGATTAAGGAGATGCCAGTTCAAGTCTGCTGAGGAGATGGTGGGTTATCCACTCTGGAAAATATGCAAACATTTATAAGTCTTTCTTTTCCTTTGCAGGAACAACTGTGATCTGGATTATGAGCTTTATAAAGACGATTTGCCATACAGGTGAGTTTAGGGCTTTAATCTCATCTCTTTACCTTGTGATTCAACCATAGAGATGGCAACTTCCTTCGCTTTTATTTGTCCCAAAACGTCTACGTTACTTTGACTTGAATCAAGCCTTTAAAGCAGGAGTCTTCAAACTTGGCCCTTTTATGACTTGTGGACTCCAACTCCCAGAATTCCACAAGTCATAAAAGGGCCAAGTTTGCAGACCCCTGCTTTGAAGAGACCTGTTGTAAATGAACTTCCGCTGCCTAACCTTTCCTGCAGGATCTACGAATATCAGAAGATCCCTCCTCTTATTGGACACATTCCTATCAAGACTAGAAGAAGCCACCTAGGCACTGAAAGTAAAACCAGCCTGAGCCCACACACAGACTTAAGAAACAACAGCAATTCCACAATAGGACGTACAAAATGTGAGTGTCTGGGGACTCAGCTTTTGGAGAGAGATTTTGGGAGCAAGATGGCGCACTGAGCCATCTTGTGATCCAAAAGCCGTGTTAGTTTAGGGCAGTGTTTCTCAACCGTGGCAACTTGAAGATCTGGGGACTTCAACTCCCAGAATTCTCCAGTCAGGAATTCTGGGAGTTGAAGTTCACACATCAAGACTCTGGTTGCATCTTTTCCAACTAATCTGTTTTATTAAAAAGCAAAAAGCTTCCCTGAGCTATACCTCACTCCATCAGATGCAAAGACCTGAACATCTTTGTCTAATCAAGGTTAAATATCCCTTTGCGCATCATACTGGCTGTCAAGCCGAGCTGCAGTGGGAGTGCAGGATACCCTCAAATATTTGGGATGCTCAGCGGGGACTGGTGACCTGCTTGATGTTCATCTTCTCTAGAGAAAAAAGGAAATTAGGGAAAGGCATTAGCTTTTGGGGGCAAGTAGAAGCCAGAAGGTGGTCTTCAAAGAAGGCAGGAGCAACGAAGAAAGAGAAAACGGAATTTTGGTTGCCTTAAGGGAAAAGACAGAACAGGAAATGTAATTTAACCTGGAAGAATGATGGTGGAAATTTAGAAACTAAAGCAGCATTTCATATTGATCTGAACTAGCCAGCCAATTCAATCAAAGGCTAAAAAGTTCAGGGATAATCTCCAGGCTGTTCCTACACAGACTGGCTTCTTTGGAAAGGTAGGATTTCTGGGTTTAAAAAAAACACAACACTCAGCCTGCGCCAATTCGTGTGTGGTTGTGCTTGCAGATATGCCCGGGGGGGGGGGGAAACAATTCTCCTGATCTTTATTGCTGTGCCTTTGGCAGCAGCTGTTTTTGGATTTTTGTGGTTTGCAAAGCTGGGAAATGATCCTGTTCATTAGCACGGATGCAAATGGCTGCTGGCCATAAAACCTGGAACGAACTCCTCCCCCCCCCCAGCAGCCCACGTTTTCCCAGTTCGGTTTCTGCAGAGGGTCTTTAAAAGGAACGTAGCTCATTTTCCTGTCTCTTCCCCTCCCCCCCGCAGTGCGAGCAGAAGAACTGCACTCCATCAAAGGGGAATTAAGCCAGATCAAAACCCAGGTGGACAACTTGCTGGAAAGCCTCAATCGGATGGATCAGCAGCGGGAACACCCCACAGGTGAGGGAGAGAAGAGTCTTATAGAATCAAAGGACTAGAAGCCATCTTGGAGACCCTCTAGTAGCCGAACCCCCTGCCTAAGGGCAGGAGACCTTATACCAGTGGTGGCGAACCTAGGGCACGGGTGCCAGAGGCGGCACTCGGAGCCCTCTCTGTGAGCACAGGTGCCGTTGCCCCAGCCTTGCTTCCCCCTGTGACCCCCTCCTCACCAGCAGCCCCCCTGGAGGAGAGTCGCCCCCGAGCGTGGCCCACGTGGAGCAGCGCAGCCAAGGACATGGCAGCCAGGCAGCGTAGACAAGACTCTGCCCTCACGCCCCATCGTGCACAGTTGATGCTGCGGGGCGCGGGCAGAGGGCGTGGCTGCCATGGCGCTGCTGGGCGATCTGCGGCGGGCCCTGGAGACGGTGAGTGGCCCTGTGGGCAGGCGGGGTGGAGGCGGAGCAGGGGCGGGCCAGGGGGTGGAGCGGGGATGGGGCCAGTTTTTGGGCACTCGGTCTCTAAAAGGTTCACCATCACTGCCTTATACCAAGGGTAGACAACCTTGGCTCTTTTATGACTGGTGGGCTTCAACTCCCAGAATTCCTGAGTCAGCTATGCTGACTCAGGAATTCTGGGAGTTGAAGTCCACCAGTCATAAAAGAGCCAAGGTTGTCTACCCTTGCCTTATACCACCCTGGATAAGCGGTTGTCCAATCTTTCCTTGAAAACCTCCAGCGATGGAACACCTAGAACTCTGGGAGACAAGCTGTTCCATCACTCATTGTTCTGTCGGGAATTTTCTTAGTTCTTGGTTGGCTCTCTCTTTAACAACCTTCCCCCCCCCCTTGCTTCTTGTCCTGCTCTCTGGTGCTTTGGGGAACAAGCTGACACCCTCCTCTCTGTGACATCCCCTCAAGTATTGGAAGACAGCTGTCACTCCTAATCCATCTCTTTGTTAGGCTAGCATACCAACACTAGCATGTTTAGACCTGCCAGGACCCAAGAATCCCGTTGATTCAAAGCCCTCGTTCGGAGGTACAGGCAGTCCTCGACTTAACGAGAGTCGAGCCCCACATTTCTGTTACTAAGCGAGACAGTAGCTGAGTGAATGTTGCCCCAATTTATAGTCGACCGCTGCAAGTTGTTAAGTTAGCCACATGGTTGCTAAGCGAAACTCGCTTCCCCATTGACTTTGTTTGTCGGAAAGTCGCCAAAGGGGTTCACGTGACCCCGGGATGTTGCAACCGTCATAAATACGAACAGGTTGCCAAGCATCCGAATTTGGACCATGTGATTATGGGAGGATGCTGCAACGGTCATAAATCACTTTTTTTCCCGGGCCGTGGTCACTTCAAACGGTCACTAAACAGATGCTTGTAATTCGAGGACTGCCTGCATTTAAAATGTGCCTCAAGGATGGGCGAACCCCCAAAGCTCCCTGCTCCTTGTTGCTAGACCAGTAGGAGAAACCCCACAGCGAGCATCTCTTGATTGTGCAGGCACCAAGGACAGCAAGAGAAAACTCTTCGCCAGCGTGGATGCTTCCTATCCAGCAGCGGAACCAATCCGGATGAAGGACAGCGCCGAACAAGAGGGTCACAGCCCTCAGCAGGATGTTGACAGCGCGGAGGAGAGCACGGACACCGAAGAAGCCGCGGCGGTAAGTGGGGCTGTGAGACTTGTGCCAACGGAGCAGAATTATTCCACCAGATGGGATTTTACTGCATTTCCTTCACACTTCAGAGCATCCATCCTCATTTGCCTCGGTGGCATATTTACGCTGCTGTTTCTCCTCCTCCTCCTGTTATCAGATGGCTCTGAAGCACCGAGAGGGGAGGGAGGAGGGGAGGCAGGGAAGGGCAGAAGCTCAGGGTGGAGGTGGACTAAACCATTCTAGAGGTCTTTGCTCTGGAAGGTAGCTTAGCTGGAAAACACCGAGCTGAAAAGACCAATTTGGTCGCTGAATTAATGTCTGGGTGTAATCTACTCGGGTTATTTATTTGTCAAGAGGGTCTGTGGAGATTCTCAGTCATCCATCCACCATCGTGGGTGTCCCAAAGGTGCTTTTTCCAAAGGCAACTGGACTTTTCCTTGAAGAGGTATCGCTTCTCATCCAAAAACTGAATGAACTGAAGAAGCTTCTTGGATGAGAAGCGAAACATCTTCAGGGCAAAACCAAGTCCAGTTGCCTTTTGAAAAAGCACCTTTGGGGTATCTGTCAAGAGGGCCCCTGTAATTAGGGCAGGGGATCCCAGTTTTTTTAGGCTAAAGACCGCACAAGAATGTGAAATGTGCTTCCAAAGGGCGAGGACAAGACCACAAAAGGGGAAGCCAAACCAAGAAAAGAATGTCCCCGATTTAATTGCAATTAAATTCAACTTAATTAGACAATTAACGTTACTTCTTCTGCATCTAATCACCGGCTCCTTCCGTGACATTAAAAAATTACAATTTGGCAGCAGCGTTCGGAAGATTCTGGAACCGACATAGGCTTTCAAGGGCAAGACATGAAAGGGCAACTACTACACAAAGAAGCTGAAATGGAGTCCTTATTAAATATGACTTACACCAGTGGTTCTCAACTATGGGTTGCGACCCCATTTGGGGTCGATCGACCATTGCACGGGGGTCGCCAAGCAAGGCTGTCCGCCATTTTTTTTGTCTGCCATTTGTTTTGTCTGCCATTTTTTTCCCCTTTTCCGGCGGGTGCCTTACCTCCCTTGGGCTGGGCCAGCTGGTGGTCGGCCTGCTCCGTCTCTGCCGCTTGCCAGCTACGCCTCGGCCGGCGCAGGGGGCGGAACCACGCATGCGCGGCGCTCCCGGGCAGGGAAAGTCCTCGACTTATGACTGGTTGGGCAGTCCTCGACTTACGACCGGTTTAGTCCTCGACTTACGACCGGTTTAGTCCTCGACTTACGACCGGTTTAGTCCTCGACTTACGACCGGTTGGGGTCGCGGCATTAAAAAGATTGAGAACCACTGACTTACACATACATAATACAGGTAGTCCTCAACTTACAAAGGAGCCCAACATTTCCGTTGCTAAGCAAGACAGTTAAGTGAATTTTGCCCCGTTTTACGACCTTTCTTGCCAGAGTTGTTAAGTGAATCACTGCAGCCGTTAAATTAGTAGCACGGTCGTTAAACGAATCTAGTTTCCCCATTGACTTTGTTTGTCAGAAGGTCGCAAAAGGTGATCAAAGGACCCCAGTATGGTGCAACCATCATAAATAATGAACCAGTTGCTAAGCATCTGAATTTTGATCACGTGACCCTGGGGATGCTAAAACAGCCATACGGAAAAAAGGGGTCGTAAATCACTTTTTTTCAAACGGTCATTAAATGAATGGTTGTAAGCTGAGGACTGTCTGTATTATAGATGCTTTTACGTGTTATTCAGAAGACAGCGCGGCTGCATTTGTTAGGGAAAGAATACAGCTCAGCTCCAACCCAACTGCAGCACAAGTTCAACCTATTTCATATTGGATGGGGGACCACTAAGGAATCCCAGGTTTGTAATCTAGACATTGAAACAAGTAAAAGCTCAGTAGAAACCATGGACAAATCCACTTCCATATTGTTATGAAGAGAGCAACATGGAGACACAAGCAAATCAAATTCGATTCAAAGGAAACTCGAGTTACTTTATTTTCAGACAGGGCACAGAAAGGAAATAGCCAAAACTAAAACCTGGTGAGTTGCTGCCAGTTAGTGACTGGGCTTATCCTTCACATTAAATCATAGTTCAGGTTTTTTTTTGGTTTTGGTTTCCCCCATAAACCATGCTTCATGGTTTATGTCCCATGATTTAACATGTGTGAATCGAGCTGTTACGGTTTGTCCTATGAAACGTGGCTAAACCGTGGTTTAACACTAGGGTGAGCATTCTGAGATCCCACAACTCCATTCAACCCCCTTCCCTCATTCTTTGCAGCTCCTAAACCATCTCTGAATCCTGTTGCTAACAACTGGTGGCACGACTTCCTACCATTTTGAGTTTGAACATACTCCAAAACAATGGTGTAATTTCTCAAACTAGGCTAAACCCAGTTCGAAAAAGGAAACTAAAATGAAGACCAACCTCCTCAACTCAGTCCTGCTGCAACGCTCCTGGCCCCAGCCCACACAGGTCCCAAACATCCTGAAGGGCAACTACATAAAGGTGGTCCATTCCTGGTTTAAGAAAGTGCACGAGCCAGGTCAGGGTCTCAACAGTGCTGAGTTAATGGTTGGATTGAAGAGAAAAGAGCTCACCGTGTAGCCCTTTTGACTTTGCTCCATGGCAGAACAACCTGCACTGTCTGCAGAAGGTTCACTGCTCAACACCTGAAGGGAAAACCAGCAAAGGTTCTTGAGATGCCAGATCATAAACTGGGATCAACATTGACCTAATTCAGCCTATGTAGCTTCTTATGCCAGGCAACACATTTACGAATGCACCCTTTTTAAAAGTATACACTGCCCCCTTTGGGGGATGCTCATCCAAATAATTCTGAAGATGCATTCAGAACCGAAGTGGTTTTCTCTTCCAACTTCTAATGGGTCTCTTTCTGTATCACCCAACGTTTAGGAACTACAAAATATGCTCTAGATATGGTGACCTAGTTCAGATGCCATAGGAAGGCACGGTTGGCTTAAATCGGTCCCACTTGACCTCCAATCTCTTTAAAAGCAGAGAAGCTGCCATTGGACGAGCTCGGAGTTACCGTATGAGTATTTTGTTCCCTTGCAGGTGAGAAATCACACGCCAGATTCCGAAGGAAGCAAGTAGGGGTCCCTCGCCAAGCACCTCCTTTTCTCTGTGTTGCCTTTTCCTCCCGTGACTTCAGCTTGTGCAGCCTCCGACGTCGTCGCTTCCTTGCAATCCGTGCTGGTTCAGCTGCAGCATTGCTGCTGCCCCTAAGCTGCTGGAGAGCTTCCTATGTCAACTCAAGGGTGGGCCTTGTGTGCTGCTGTAGATAAAAGACCTTCAAACAGAGGTCCAGGATGGGAGAAAGGGGAGAGGAAAAGCAGGCAAGCAGGCACCATGACTCCCATTTGAACCAATCCCTGTTGCTCTGAAATAAACAGTAGCGATGTGCTACAGATCAAACCTGTGGTTTTTCTTTTATCTGGTGCCCAAAGAGCAAATTGCATGTCAGGTCCAAGATGCTTCGTGTCCAGATTCATCTTAGTCTGCAGACGTCAAAGGACGTAGTTTTGAGATGTGTGTTACAGCACACATCGCTCTAAGCAAGGCAGGGCAAAGATTTTATGGCCTTGAGCACTTCTTTAGTTTACATTTCATATTTCTAAAACCACCCATCTTCCCCAAAGAGGGTCTCCTAGGTGATTAATGACAGGTGCCATGGGCATTTTTAGAGCAGAGTCCTCTCTAGTCCCTCACAAGAAAGACTGGATCTGAGTGATTTAAGGGGTAAAAGGCGTCCAAAGAAATTTCATGAAAACTGCACATACTGTATACACTTTTTGCTTTGCTTACTCCAGGAATGTTTTGAAAACAATGTGTCATAAATGGCTGCATAATGCTGGTCTGTTCTTGTACTCACCATAGCTTATTTTAACCACACTTTACTGAATTAACTATAATGGCTGGAGCTACTGGTGACACTAAATCAGTGTTTTTCAAACTTGACAACTTCAAGATACATAAGCCAGAATTCTCTAGTCAGCCAAACTGGGGGGAGAATTCTGGTAGAGAGTGGAGTGGAGTGGAGTAGAGTAGGAGTATAGTAGGAGTAGAATCTGCTCCAGATCATCACCTGGATTTACATAACACGCAGAATGAACTTGGGTTCTGACTTAATGCACTTTACAAATTTATCCTAAGAATCAATCTTGCCAGATCAGGCCAAAGATGACCAATTAGATATCTCTACAAAGTCCACAAAGTTCTCTACCAAACGGTATTAGAACCAGACCGTGGACTTACTCTGTAGCCATAATAACTGGAGACCACTAAGGCCTCCCTCTTTTCTCTTAAGAAACCAAAGCCAATGCCATCCTTTCACCTTGGCACTCAAAATGCCACCTCTTGGTCATTAGCCATAGGAATATGTTTCCTTTAGTTTCTCCGCCCGCCGGTTTTAGAGGGCAACCTTATTCTCAGAACGGGTATCAGCACAGTAGGTGCGCCAGACCAAGAAATCCACTCCACGCAAGGCTAAAACTACTTTGATTGAGATAGGCTATAACAACAGTCAAGGCCATGGTTTTCCCAGTTGAATGTATGGCTGTGAAAGTTGGACCATAAGAAAGGCTGAGCACCAAAGAATGGAGGCCTTTGAACTATGGTGCTGGAGAAGACTCCTGCGAGTCCCCTGGACTGCAAGGCGATCAAACCAGTCAGTCCTAGAGGAGATCAACCCTGACTGCTCTTTAGAAGGCCAGATCCTGAAGTTGAAACTCAAGTACTTTGGCCACCTAATGAGAAGGAAGGACTCACTGGAGAAGAGCCTGATGCTGGGAAAGATCGAGGGCAAGAGAAGAAGGGGACGACAGAGAATGAGGTGGCTGGATGGAGTCACTGAAGCAGCAGGCGTGAACTTAAATGGACTCCAGAAGATGGTAGAGGACAGGAAGGCCTGGAGGAACGTTGTCCATGGGGTCGCGATGGGTCGGACACGACTTCACAACTAACAACATAATAACAGATTATTTCCAAGTCTGACAGGGCTGACCCCCTTCTCCTCCTTATACATCTGTGAATTGGGGGGAGGTCTCTGCCTGATCCCCTTCTGAATGTTATCTCTCTGGGCTAAAAATGTTTCATGCACACATACCCCTCTGCCTAAGTACAGTTCTTGCTTATTTCCATCAAAATAATATTATTTACTCTACAAAGAGAGGGAGTAAAATGTTTCCATAGAAAGCAACTACTAAAAAAAACAAACAAAGCCAGCTTTATAAAAGAGATATTTTAATTATATAAACAAGACAACTGGTCTGTTGAACTCATGTGTTTAAATAGCAGGCAGGAAATCAAGTCCCAGTGAATTATTATCAGAGGAAAAAATCACATTGAATGAAAGTCAGGAGAGTGCCAATGGAGACTTGAGAAGAGAAAAAAAAAATTGTATTAACAAGGATTCAGTGAACCTAGAAGAGGATCAAAAACAAGAAATAAAAGAGGTAGCAAAGAAGCCAGGATAAAAAAAAAACTAAGCAAAACGGGGAGACTTTTTTTTTTTCAATTTTGAGTAAGATGGGAAAAAATGGCATCAAAATAAAGTTGACCTTTAAAAACATCCACTTACACAAGCTACTAAATAAAGTATGGTTAACCACTGGATTACCCTGGGTTCACCAGTTCAAAATAAACAAAACAAGCCATGTTAGTGCTTTAATGTCATAATCACCTGATTCCCCACAGCCTTCTAAGACAGTGTTTCTCAACCTTGACAATTTTAAGGCATGTGGACTTCAACTCCCAGAATTCCACAGCCAGCAATGCTGGCTGTGGAATTCTGGGAGTTGAAGTCCACATGCCTTAAAATTGTCAAGGTTGAGAAACATCACCCCCTTTTGTTTCATTTTTTAACTCAGTCACGGTTAACTGTGGTTTCTGGCGAAAACTCAGCCATCACTTCAACCTGACCTACTTCGCCAGAAACCCAGTCCCCTTTTCATCCAAAGGACCCCATTAACAGGCCAGAGGCAACCCCCCTAGGACCAAATTTCAGCATTAAGATAGGAGAAGCAATTGTGAGTTCAAGACTCCAGCTGCCCAACACACAAAAAAAAGTCAACGGTGCAAAGTTGGGTGTCAAACAGCCGCAGCTCAGGGTGCTTTCTTGGGGGAGACGCTGCGGCAAAGTTCACCCCCTTCTCAAAGTGAGGGGCTGGGGGGGTCCCCAAGAAAGTTTCCAGATTTAAGTTCTAGGTGGATCGAGCAGGTCTCTCGCTCCGCATCCGTCTGGCCTTCATCTGCTTGCTACGTCGCGGTCCCAACTTGCGCCCCGTCTCCTGGTTCTCTGGTTGCGCAAAAGCCCCGAGGGCGACTTCAGGCCGTCCCCGCGGGGGGCTCGGCCGTGTCCGTGTCCATGTCCGCGGGCTCCTGCGGCCCGGGCGCCCGCCGCTTGGCCGCCCGCAGGAGGCTCTGGCGCAGCAGCGGGTAAAGGCGCTGGCAGCCGTCGAGGCCCAGGCGGAGCGCTTGGGCCCAGCTGTCGGCCGGCCCGCCGTCGCCGCTGCCCAGCAGGCCGGCCACCTGGTTGAGGGAAGGCAGGAGCGCCACGGTGAGGCGGGCGGCGGCGGCGCGCTCCTCGGACTCGCTGGGCTGCAGCCGCCACTCGGGCCCCGACGGGCCGGCCGCCCGGCTGAGCGCGCAAGCCGCCACCAGGTCGTAGAGCTCGATGCCCGCGTCGGCCAGGGCCAGCCCGGCGGCGCACATGGCGGCGGCCAAGGCGGAGCCGCCGTCTTGCAGGAGCAGCGCGCTCACCTCCAGCTGCGCCCGCGGGTAGCGCGCCAGGCGCACGGCCGGCTCCAGCGCCTCCTGCAGCGCCAGGCCCAGCTCCGGCTCCTTGTCGCCCGGCCGGCCTCGGGCGCCGCGCCCGGAGAAAGGCGCCCGGCGGAACTCGCACACCAGCCGGCCGCGCGGCTCGCCCGGGGCACTCGCCCCGCCGCCGCCCGCCTCGCGCGGCCCGGCCACGGAGCAGAGGACCTTGGTGCCGCCGTCCAGCTCCACGTAGGCCGAGCCTTTGGCTTGGCTCAGCAGCCCCACGCGGGCGAAGAGCGGCTGCAGCGCCGACAGGTCCCGGCTGGCCGCCTCGCCGCTCTCCCGCTGGCCGGCCGGCACGTAGAGCAGCGGCGACTGCGACTCTTCCGGGCCCGGCACTCGCCGGTGATCCAGCGGCATGGCCCCGGCTTTGGCGCGCCTGGCTCCGGAAGGGGAAGGGCGGAGGAAGGCGGCTAGGCGCTCCCGGGAGCTCCCCCTGCCGGCTTCGGCTCTCCGCGGTGGCCGCTGCTTCTGGGCGGCGGCGGCGGGAGGAGGAGGTGGATCCTGGCGCCCGGCTGGAGCGTCTCGGCCGCTAGACGCAGGGGTAGTCAACCTTGGCTCTTTTATGACTCGTGGACTTCAACTCCCAGAATTCCTGAGCCAGCTGTGCTGAGGGGAAATGGAGAGGTTTCCAAGCTGAGCCATGCTGGCTCAGGAATTCTGGGAGTTGAAGTCCACGAGTCATAAAAGAGCCAAGGTTGACTACCCCTGCAAGGCTGGGATTGCGGGGGCGGGGGCTGCAGCTCCACTGTCAGTTGCTGGGGCTCCCTCCAGCAGCGGATAGTACAGGTAGTCCTCGATTTACAACAGAGATTCAAAAACATTCCTTCATTTCTTAGGAACCACATATGTTTTTTTAAAAAAAACCACCCCAAAATACTTTTTGTATCAACCGTTATCTAATTAGAACCATTTTCACTTCCGGATAGTCCCTAAAGAACTTGTGGTCCCTAAAGAACTTGTGACATGGACCAAAATGCAGTCACGATTAAAACAATTTTGAAAATTTTATAATTTATTTTACATCAAACAGATGGCTGCTACAGACTCTTTGCAGCAGACAGGTGAGGGCTAATATTCCTGGTTACCACCCATGTGTCAACCTCCAGCTCGCATATCCTAATATTTTTGGACAAGCTGCCTCTGATCCTGCAAATGGTGGGCTTAATCACTAACACTTAACACCAGGGAGCATTGGATGTTTCACAGCGGTGACAGATGTTTACACCATTAAACCCATGTTTAAAATTACCGATGGCTTTCTTCCATTCTCCGGTGTACAGAGAAATGGACCTTAATGGGCTTGAAAAATGACAGTCCTTGAATCACAAAAGGTGGGGGTTTTTTTTAATACGAGGCTTTCTTTTTGCAATGATTACAATTATCATTATACTTCAGGCTGTGAGTTGGATGCCCGCAAAGGCCCTGGCTATGAATTGCTGCTCTAAAAAGCTAAGTACTGTATCGCAATCAGCCAAGGGTGACATTTATTTCCTATGCCAGAAACTGGAACTGAAGTCTGCTAGAGGTTGAGTTGGTTGATTCTTTTTTCCAAGGAAACCACAGGCTGATTCAGGTTGTTTTAAAAAAAAACAACACTTTTTTCTGGACCCCTTCTGCAGCTCAGCCATTACACCCATTTGCAGTACAGGTAGTTATCAACATGACAACCGAGCCCAAAATTTATGTTGCCAAGTGAGACATTTTATTAAGTAGCCCTCTTCATTTGCACCCCTCTTACCAATATGGTGGGGTGTTGCTGCCAAGAAGGCTTTGTTTGAAAGCTGGACTTGTTTGATGATTTAGGAAGACAAATTCAAAGTATTCAGCCATCCTGTTTCCTCACACATCCAATTATATTTCTGGAATGCAATATTGGCTCCCATTTGCACCCTTTTAGATACGTATTTTTTCTTTCCATTCCGGATTCCATTAAATTTAGTATTAACTACTACTCAATGGTCTCATTTGTCAGCACTCACCACTGTCCAAATTAGAACGGATTTAGAAATCAGGTTTTGGTGCAAATTAAATATTAAGGAGATGATTTTGCTGAGGCATCTGGGCTAAGTTCACACAGCGTCCTTATTAATGATTAACTGAAACACAGTTTGCTCAATGTTCTAGGTTGCACATTCCCTGAACCATAAATTAAGCACCAAACTCAACTGTTTCAGCAGGCAGGACTGGCCTAGGGGGTATTTTAATTGGTTTTAACAAAATTTTAATAAAGCGGCCAATTCAAATATTTTTAATTATTTTAGATTTGTATTTGGTATTTATGTGGGATTGTTTTAAACTGGCTGTAAGCCGCCCTGAGTCCTCCGGGAGAAGGGCGGGGTATAAATGAAATAAATAAATAAATAAATAAATAAACTTGGCCTATACTGCTAGAATTGTTTTTCCGCCTTAGTAACCTCAAAATGTATGGACTTCAATTCCCAGAATTCCTCAGCCATCCGTGACTGTCACTAAAAACTGAAGCATCAAAGAAGCCATACCCACAAGTCTTATCTCCTTCATAGGTCCTAGAATAGCACTTCTCTAGAGGACATGACTTCAAACATCAAGCTCAGATCGGTTCCTTCAGTCCCCGAAACAGGCAATTGTTTCCTATATTCTATATGCACACACACGTATATATATGTGCATTATCACCCTCTGTCTTCCCTGATTTTTTTTAAATTTTAAAGCCATCCAAGTAAGTTTCTGCTACTAAAGTAGCCTACAGTTTCTCAGGCAAGCTCCAAATCATATTCATTTGAACCAGTGTATTCTTTAAAGCAGCTGCTATTTTTTAGGGCTACTTTAATAAATAGATTGCTCGATTCAACTAAGGCCCAGGGCAGTTTTTCTTCAGATTATGTTTAAAATATTTTATACATTAAATAGATTTATATTGCCACCCAAAACCCACACACACACAGAGTCACCTCCTGAGTGATGATTAGATAAGTTTAACTATACTGTGAATGAGTAGCTGTCTGTTTGAGGCAGAAACTCTATCCAACTCTGCTGGAGGGGTGAATCAATATTTGCAGTCTGCATACTTCAAAAACATGGAAATTAATTCATTGTGGAAAAAAAAACTCACGACACTGTTCATTATTCTAATTCGCCTATGCCCGTGACAGCAATAGTTTTATTAATCTCATTTTATTACTCTCACAAACGATGGGCAAGCTTTCAAAAAAAAAACTTTTTCAAACAGAATGCCACCGGTAAATGGTGTGGTCACTTCGTTTTCCTTTAAGTGCTTCTCCTATAAACTACATGTAGGTGTGACCTAACAAGGACCCAAGACGGCATGCAAATGTTTGCACTGATGATGTTGCCTAGCTTGGTAATAAGATGTCTGCCAGAAAAGCTCAGAGAGCACCAGGACCCCATAATGTTTTTACTGCCTATTATCTGCTGATATTTTTGAAATTAAACCATACAGGGGCCTATAATTTAGAAATGCAAAAAAACAGTAAGGATAGTTTCCACACTTCTAATTGTTCTGGTTCTTCTTGCCTTTTGAGTTTAAGGTCACATCTTTGACAAATTCTTAACAGCCCAGTGCTATGAGGACCTACAACCTGGAGGTAAAAAATGAGGTTAGTGGGCTTTATGATCAATCCTTTTCCAAAGCTAAACAGGATCAACCAAGTTTAGTACTCAGATGGGAGAATTCCAGGGCTGTAGGCCAGACCGGGAAGTTTAAAGAAAAAAAAAAAGGAAGGAAATAACAAACCAATTCTGCATTGTTGCTGAGAAGATTTGCACGGCGTTAGTGGAATTTGACTTAAGGCTTCTTTACTTTTCAAGACTAATAAACCTGTGGTATGCAAAGAGAAGAAAGCTAACGGTATCTTCCTTTCCAAATCTTTCATCTCTGAGAACACTTCCCCAAACCACAATGTATACGGCAGCATGCATATCGGTGTTTGTATGTACCACTGAATTAAATCTGCTGCAACAGATTTTGAGATCTCTGGGTCTCCCTTTCTTTCATGACTTCAAAGAGGAGAGTTGTTCAAGTTAATAAAGTTTCTTTTTTGAGTCAAGATCTCAGGTGATTTTCTGGCCACAAATCAGGTGAATTCCATGGAAACTACCTGGAAATGGTTTGATACTAACCTTCCCCCCTTGAGGCTTTTCCAACTTCCCAGTCTAGTCAGCGAACGTTATAGTCCCTCACCCAAATAAGATCCTGGCCTCAACCTGCTTAGCTTTTTCAAGATCACGCAAGGCTCACTGGACATTGACACCTAGCTGGGCATGATTAAGGTCATCGAGATAATTTCAGCAAGCCTCATGTCGGCTTGAGTTACAATTTCAACAAGCCCATCATCCTTAACCACAGCTGGCTTCCTTGTCCAAATGTTTTCTACAAAGAAGATAAAGGAGAATGAATTGTGCAAACCCAGAGCTTGCACTCTGTTCCTGCTTGCATGCAACGCGCTGAACCAGTAAAATGACACACTTGTTTATTTCCATTGTGCGATATACAGAGTCCGCTTGTTTTATTCAGCACTGGCCCTATCTGACCCCCCCCCCCACTGGTATAGGGCAGGCTTGTTCTAAGGGAGGTTAAAACAATGAGGTTTCCACAGTTAGAAAGAAGAAATGTGATTGAGGGGCAGGTCAGGTTCATCCCTGCGTATACTCACGTTACAATAACCCCCTGAACGTAGTGCTTAATCACAGATGAGAAGGAAATGGCAGAATTCCCTTTAAACTGCACAGTGGCATTGCAATGACGGATACACTGATGTGACAACTGGAGGGTGTAAAAGGAAGGCCAGTTCCTTAGCAGCAGGTGTCCTGAGATGGCATGGCTGCTCCCAGGAGATGGGGCCCAAAGCGACACAGCTCTGGCCTCATACCCAGATAATTGGCTTTTCCAACCACCTCTCTGGGCTTTGTGCCCGATGGATGTAGGATAACCACCTGGGGTCTAGTCCTCCACCGAGGGCGCTAAAAGGAACATCTTAAGCTATTGGCCTACAGGCAAGGAACAGCCTTCCTGGCTTTCATCCCCGCTGGGGTTCAGTTCTTCAGCTCGCTGAGCTTCAGCTTGGCAAATTCGGTGGCCACCTGCAGGGCTTCCTCCAGGCAATCTGTGTTTTTGCCCGTAGCCTGGGCCGAGAGGTCTTTCCCTCCTCCCTTGCCATCCATCAGGACGGTGACCTGCTGCACCCACTCGCTGGCCTTCAGCCCTTGGCGGGCGACTTCCTGAAACCGACAGAAGGAGAATATTTGTAGCTCCGGATCGAACGGGTGAGGTCCCTTGGTGCTCTCTGAGCTTGGTTGTTTTCTTGCAGACGTTTCACTATCGAATATGTTTGGGGATGAAATGTCTGCAAAGAAGAACA